AAAAATTATTAAAATAGAAAAATGTGTTTTTTTTTTTTTTTTGTAATGTAATACTATTAAATTATTAATTTAATTTCAAATGACTGTAATATCAGATATTGATTTTTTTTATAATAATTTATATAATATTAAATACTAATGTAACATTTTTTAAAATTTGTCGTTTTCGACAATGATTCCTCGATGAATCGAAATCCTGATCGAAGAAAAAAATGAATGAATGTAAAATATTTATTTGACAAAAAATATCCCACTAATTATAAATGTTTAATTTGTTCAATTTTGAGAAAATTTTTTAATTAATAATATATAACATAATAAATTTTTTAAAAAGTTTTTTTTTAATCATAAAACCGCCTTTTTCCCCTTAAAGTAAAACAAGATACAGTGTCATGTATAAAAAGGATCAATTTATAATTTTTTATTTGTTGTAAATAAAATTAGAAAATAAATACTTTTTAATTTTACCAAAAATTAATAAAATTAATATATAGACTTGGTTTTTAATTTTGCAAAATTAAAAATAATTAAGAATAAGTTTTTTTTTTTTTTTTTTTTACACAATTGCGCAATGAGGAATTGAATTCTAAAATGTGATGAAATGTTCAATTCAAATTAAATCTTATTAAAAAAAATTTTATATATGAAATATTAATAAATTAAAACGTTCAATTACGAAAGGTAAAAAAAAAAAAAAAAAAAAAAAATGTAAAATAAGAAAATATTAATTTTAAAGCAATGAAGCGTGACTTTTTTTTTTTTTAAAAAAAAATTTAAATAATATTATTAAAACAAACATGCTGAATCTACTCAAAAAAAAAAAAAAAAAAATGTAATTTTTTAAAATTATAGGTTAGTTGAAATTTAACAACTTACATGAATCCATTATTATTTTCTTATGTATATATATTTAAACTGCTGAAACTTATCTATCAAGAATAAAATGTCATTTAATAAAAATCACTAAACAGTACATAAAGATATGATAAATTAATAAAATCTATTTCACTACAAGTATTTTGTAAACATCTGACGCTCTTCATAATTTAAAAGGCTGTGATAAAATGGTAAAACGGCGGCAAGAAAATATAATCATTTTTATTTTTTATTTTTTAAATGAAATATTTGATTATTATAAAGGAAATTATAAAAAAGGTTCATGTAATAACTAAATAAATAATAATAGGAATTATTTGCTAATGTAAAGCGATAGTATTAAAATTTACAAAAATAAATTTTTTTAGCCACATATGCATTATTTGTTTTAGAAGGCGGTATTATTTATCTTGAAGTTCAAGTTGTCTGTACTGATTATCATGATGACCTCTTTTTGTGTTAAAAAGTGACACATGTGTTGGGTAGTGGTGTAATAAACGGACATTCTTAAATTTTGGATATATATCAAAAGTGGTACTTAGTAAGGGCTTATAATTCCATTCTCTTTAAATAATCAATGTTATTAAATATTTAAAAATTTTTAATTTTAACCATTCTTTTAAATTCGTTTGGAATATAATATTTTACAAGTTCCCAGCCCTTGTATTCGCCATTTTACCTTAGTTTATAACTTTTGTGAGCCCCTTATTATTTTTAAAAAAAAACTAATCAATTTGTTGAATCGGTCATTAAAAAAATATTTCAAGTTACGGGAGTCAATATATCGAATTAAGCGGACTTCTGCTTTTCCTCGTCTAGCATATTATTAATTGTAAACATTCTTCACGTCTTTAAAGTTGATTTTTTTCTCTGCCATATTTTTAAGTTAAACGAAAATTATTTTCAATAAAATGTAGTTTCAATTATCTCAATATAAGTTTCGCAAGTTCCAAGTGAAGTGCGGAACGTAGAACGTGGCCACCGGTATTGCAACGTGACGTCCTGATGACAAATAAATTCTACACTTGTAAATTAATTTTTTCTTTTTTCTTTTTTCTTTTTTTTTTTTTTTACATCTCATTAGGTTTAAATTAAAATTAAGATGTCTTCCTCAAATTATACATCAGAAGAAAGTTCTTCAGATCGTAACGTAGAGATATGGAAAATAAAAAAACTAATAAAAAGTTTAGAAATGGCTAGAGGGTGAGTCGGTGAAAATATTTTTTTTACTATTATAAGTAATTAAAACTCAGTTATCTGTTAAAAATATTAGTGAAACTGAGAGAATAATTACTTTGTTTTTGTATTGGTGTAACAAAACAATAAGTTTTTAAAAAGTTATAACGAATAATTATGAATCTAACTGTAAAATTTTTTATTCAGAAATGGTACGAGTATGATTTCATTAATTATACCACCTAAGGATCAAATTTCAAGAGTAAGCAAAATGTTGGCAGATGAATTTGGAACTGCCTCAAACATAAAATCAAGAGTTAATAGACTTTCTGTCTTAAGTGCTATTACATCTGTACAACACAGATTAAAGCTTTATACTAAAGGTATGAGGTCATAAATCCTCCATTAAAATAATAATAATAATAATTTTAAAAAAGAATTAATTTGCACTTTACGAATGAACAAACACTATTGATTTACCAGTTTCTTTAATTTTTATGAAAATCCGTCGCACTTAATGTTTAAAAAAAAATATATTATTTTTATTTTTTAGTTCCTCCGAATGGACTTGTAATATATTGTGGAACAATTGTTACTGAGGAAGGAAAAGAAAAAAAAGTTAATATAGATTTTGAACCATTTAAGCCTATAAATACTTCTTTATATTTGTGTGATAATAAATTTCAC